GTCTATAGCTGGGTACTCATTCCCACTTGGGTGTAGTGAGGAAAATTCATGTAAAGTGCGTTTCCCATGGACGGAACGTGGAGCCCCTAACTGGATTTAAACCCACGAACCTACGGTTGCGAGTCCGCAAGCCTAAATATTAGACCACCGACGCCACTCACTTTTGTTCTCCCAAACTGGTTTATTGCCATTTTTTTAAAATAAATGGTTTATTCTATTTTTGAGGAATTATTGAAAACTTGTGCAATTTCTCATATCATTGTGTCGTTCTTTCAATTGTAATCTTTTAAAGATAATTCTTAATGAACATATTTTGGTCTTTTCTGTAGAAACATGAACGGGAACGCTGTATTCAGGACTGAAAGGGATAGTATGAAGTTGTACTTGGATAAAACAGCAGCGTGTTCATTTTATTTCTGGTGGAGAAGATCAGACGTTATTTATTACGCTCAATCAAAAACGGACTGATACGACTGACATTGAACTTGTAGTTAGAGATGCTTATCGATAAGAGTAGGCTTCGGCCTCCACACGGGCAAAATTAAAATTCGCTACTAACCGAATATGTTTAATGTGTCCGGAGCGCTCATATGACCGAATGCAGTTGCGAGCGCCGTAAAACACCTACCAAAAAAAAAAAAAAGAGAAAGATGCTTCATTAAAATATACATGGACATACGAGCCCATTTCCGAATTAATGCGCATATTAGAAGTAATTAAACAACAAAATTGCATTGAAGACAAAAACAAACAAACAAGAGAGAGAGAGAGAGAGAGAGAGAGAGAGAGAGAGAGAGAGAGAGAGCAAAAATAACAAAAAATAACAAAAACACTGAGAACAACAACAACAAGAAGAAAAAGACAAAAAAGCAAAAGCTACAACGTCACCGTCAACAGCAACAGCAACTGCAATAGCAGTAGCATCAACAACAATAACAAAAACCACCGCCTCAACAACAACAACAGCACAACAACAACAGCAGCAACAGTACAGGCAACTTATACTTGGATCGTGCTCGCTATTTATTCGAGTCTATTACTCAGTGTAATCACTTCGTGGCACTATGCGTAAAGGTCGAGATTCAATAAAGATAATTAATTCTGCTTGATATGACGTGAAGGCCGGTTCATTCGAATTTTCCAAGCACCACTCAATCATGCAGATCCAGTTAGACAAGCCTTAACTCTTAGCAACCGGCACGCCAGTTCAACTGGCTCGTGACATCACTCGGATGTTTACAGTTGCAACAAAAACCTCCAAACCCCAGCACACCCTTATCATCAGTAACCAAACTGTGTGCTTGCAGCTTGGCTCATTCGTCCCTACTCAGTTTGGTGTTTATTTCATACCAATAGTTAAATAGGAGTGGAGTTGTAGGGAAGTTTGTGATGTTGAAAAGTTGAATCACAAAATTGGCAGTGTACAAAGAAGGTATATCATAGATCTTGCCTTCCGTATACTAAAAATTATCCTTAACCATTAATGATTTATTTATAAAGGCAGCAGCCCTCCTTGTCTAGGTGCTGTTTCAGCCTTTCCCCATAGATAGATAGATAGATAGATAGATAGATAGATAGATAGATAGATAGATAGATAGATAGATAGATAGATAGATAGATAGATAGATAAGAGCACAGCCCACTTCAGGACTCCCGTGGCGTCTTTATGACGTCACCCTCCCACTTCATCACTGTTCCTGGGCACTGTTGTTTTCTTCTTCGACTTTTTCCTTTCTGCTTTCCAGGAAATCTGCGATGTGTGAAATGACATTGTTCAGATCCAGCAGCACCAAACCGCCAAACACTGGTGAAAGAGGAATATAACAATTAATCCCCTGCCCATTTGTAGGCATAACTTTAGTGTCAGTTTAAACGTCAACATTGTTTGGTTTTTTTTTTAAGGGTAAACATTCCAAAATGATTATTTGACAATACGGGGGAATAAATCACTCCACGAATTGCTCAACCAGTTGTATTTGTTAGAAAATAAATAAGCAAAAAACATTCCGCTTGTACCAGGGTGATTTTTTATTTCGAATGTCCGTGGACGATCGCAATCGACTGAATGAATCACAGAGAAGAAAGTAAAGGCTACAGTGTTGTACACGCCTTCTGCAATCATCATTCATAATTCCATAAAATTATTTTAAACTTTCCTTAAAGACAAGCTCCGGGAAAATATTCCCCTTTAAACTTTTTTTTAGCTCTTGAAACATAGTTTGGTTTTTTATTTATTTTACACAGTAGCATGGGTCTAGTTTTGCTTTGCGGTGCATGGGAAGTATCAGGGGTAGACTGGCTTAATACTAAGACAGCATTATAAATAACCCAACACACCCCCTTTCCTCTCAAATTGTAAGATCACCCAACGGTAGATATAAAACCAATTTATGTTCTATCTGTTCTATCAATATCGAATATATGAATTCGAAAAAAGCTTGATATATTGTGAAACTAAAATTTCTTACGGCAAATTTCTTAAAACTAGGTACTGAGCAGATAGAACATTTTAACCCTAGGGTGGCGAAATGCATGAACAGGATGACACAAACAAAACCACAGATGTGTGTTCTGACATATAAATAAGCAAACAAGCAAACAAACAAACAAACAGACAGACAGACAGAAAGTCTGACTGACACACCCAACACCATGGTGGTGATGTCGAGCGCGTCAATACTGCGGGCGCTGGGCCTGGTGTCGTCTGCGCTGATCAACTTCCTCTGGGCAACATAATTTATTTCTTTTTGTACAGAGTATCATGGATCTAGCTGAGAAGTTTTAAAAGTAGATTCGCGTAACCCTAATATCGCACTAGCAAAAGAACAGTTTAGAAGATAATACAATCGAACCTGCTCTAACAATCATTTGTCCAAGACAACCTTTATAAATGACCATTTCTCTCTTCAATCCCATACATATTTTTCCTATTCATTTTCATGTATTATAATGAAACTGTTCAAGAGGACCACCTGTCTAAGATGACCGATATTTTCCTTGGCAACGGGTACACGGTCGTTTTGTACAGATTTCGACTGGGTTTTTTTTTTCATTAGAAATATGTAGCCGACCTGTGTTATCCATAAAACTAGATGTAATTGTTCGCTTTAAAAGGTCATTCAAGGTAGTTCAGTTTCCAACCCCACCACTTGTAGTAAACGAATGAGCATATCGACTGCTCAGTGTTAGACTGTCTCATACGAGCACTTTTCGAGATGGTGTATTGAAGAGTTTACACTATGCAGTCGATATTGACAAATCTATGAACAGGTTGAAATATACAGAACCACAGACGTGTGCACTGACATTCAAAAAAGCAAACAATCGGACAAATAACCAAACAAACAGACAAGTAAACAATCACACAAACAAACAAACAAACAAACAAACAGACTGGAAGGCTGACTGACAAACCTAGCACCATCATGGTGATGCCGAGCGCGCCAATACTGCGGGCACTGGGCCTGGTGTCGTCTGCGCTGATCAACTTCCTCTGGGCAGCAGACGTGTTGGCCGGGTCAACGAACAGCTCCTCCACGATTTTCTCCACCTGGTGGACACAACCTTTGGTTTAAGTAGCAGTTTTACGGCACTTGCGACAAAATAAAGCCGTATAGGTGTCAAAAGTGGATACAATGGTGGGTCTTTGAAACAGTTTTACGGCACTTGCGACGCAATCAAGTCATAATATTGGTACCGAATGTGGACACCGATCTTGAATTTAAGTAATAATTTTACGGCATTTGCGACGCAATTGAGTATGTGTACAGTATGTGTACATTATATTGTATTTGTATGTGTACATTATATTGTATTGTATTTGTACATTGTATTGTATGTGTATGTGTACATTGAATTGTATGCACATTGTATTGTATATGTACATTGTGTTGTATTGTATGTGTACTTTGTATTGTATGTGTACATTGTATAGCAGTGTATGTTTATGTTGTATTGTGTTGTATATGTACATTGCATTACATGTGTATATTGTATTGTATTATGTGTGTACATTGTATTGTACGTTTACATTGTGTACATTGTATTGTACGTGTACATTGCATTGTAAGTGTAAGTGTACATTACATTGTAAGTGTATGTATACTTCGTATTGTATTGTAAGTGTACATTGTATTATATGTACATTGTATTGTAAATGTACATTGTATTGTATTGCATTGAATGTGCACCTTGCATTGATACAGTTGAGCCTACTACAGCAAACACGTGTGTAAGACAATCAACCCACACAACCGACCACTTGCTGCTTCCTTCCTTGTATCTTAAAATTATAATGACCTGTGGTAGACGACCACCCAATGTCGATGTGAAAAATGGTTGTCATAGACAGGTGGACATCTTAGGTACTGTAATAATATAAACACACACACACACACACAGACACACACATACACACGCAAACACACGCATACACAGGCATACACATGCACACGCACGCACACACACACACACACACACACACACACACACGCACACACACACACACGCACACACACACTCATAGAGGGAGAGGAGGGGGGAGAGAGAGAGAGAGAGAGAGAGAGAGAGAGAGAGAGAGAGAAAGAGAGAAAAGGTGATTGTTAGA